GAGCCCCGCCCACCGCCCTGGCTCCTCCCGCCCCGCAGCCCCAGGGCGACTGGGGGCGACAAACCCCGGGATCTCTAGGGGCATTCTAGAGTGGGCAGAGGAACCGCCCTGGGACCGCTCAGAAAGGGGAAGCGAGTCCTCCCACATCTTTTCATTTCCCATTTTTCCAGGTGTGCTACCCTACACCCTTGTCACACAATGTTTCCCACCCTCTTCCCTCCTCTCAGAGCTCCCTCTAACCTTGCTGCAGATCCCAAGATGGAGCCCATCCCATGTTCTTTACAGCCCCAAGCCTGCCTTCTTTCCCTCGGAACCCATGCTCTGTTCACTGGTCTCCTCCCTACCCTGCTTTCACTAAACTCCTCTAGTCCTCTAAAAAGACGTTATCTTAGTGGCCATCTCGCATCTCTAAGGGAATCCCTTTTTTATTCCTCCCCGGCCCTTCTCTTTTAGTCCCACCTCTCCTTTGATTCACATGCCCTGGAAAATGGAAATGAAATCCTTCTGAAAGATCTCCTTAGTCTGAGAGAATAAATGGCAATATGCAGCTATAGAAAAACAAAACTCAAAAGCCCAGAGTAGAAAGAATGAATGGAGCTGGGTGGTAGTGAGCAAGGAAGGAGTAGTGAGTGATAAGGGGCTTAGTGTTTCCAAAAGGAGCGGGAGGAGCTTGCGACAACTCCTAACTTCCTAACCCTGTTAACTTCCAGAAACGAGGGCTTTGTTTGAGGGGGACAGGGATGAAAAGAAAAACCTGACATTTTTATTAAGTACAATAAAGCTGAGCCGTGGCAAACATTACCCTAACACTCCACGAATTAACCCCCCATCCTGCTTCACTGATGAGTCTTCAGAGAAAGAGTGAAATTCACCTGGTATTACGAGGTAAGCAGATGGGGCTGCCCTGAAGAGCAGATTCTTTTCAGTACCACCAAAGGGAAAAAGGAGATGAGCTATCGGTTGGTGGGAGCTGGATCAGTGGTAGGCTTTTTGAAAAGACCCTGGCCTAACTGAATTCATTAACCTGTGACCCCTGAAAGAAACTGAAGAGATGCAGCCAAAGGGTGAGTCTTGTCTGGAAAAGGCTGCCCACACCTCTTCCTTGTCTTACTGATGGAGCCCTTGCTCTTCAGAATTAAGGAATTCCCTCAATTTGAGAATTTCTCAGGGATTTCATGCACCATCCCTAATGATACTCTGGTCACCTTTAGAATGCTGTCCTAGAAGATAATCAGTAAGCTGTCATCTGTAGGAGCTTAATAGATAGCACCCGGGAGCTGGGTAAGGACTACAATTTGGTGGAGTCAGTCTGGCACAACATCAACAATATATTCATGATACTCACCAGGGATCTTTTTTTTTTTTTTAAAGACTTGAGGTCTTTCTATATAGTCCAAGAACTCACTACATAGACCTGGCTGACCTTGAATTCACAGAGATTCACCCACCTCTGCCCCCAAGTGCTGGGTTAAAAGCCTGTGCTACCATGCCCTAAAGTTCAGGGACCTTAAGATAAGAAAAACTTTTTCCTTTTAAACCAGAATAGGAAGAGTTTTCGCCAAGGACCCATGATAAAACACCTAACAGAAAAGAGCTGAGAGTCACTGAGCCAAGGGGCGTTTACCGCCTAATTTGTTTCAACCCTAAGAAACCATAAGCTAGATACATAGCTCAGTGTTAAGAGTACTTCCCTACCATTCGCAAGGCCCAACACCGCATTCACTCATAGTACTAGCATTATAGGAGACGGGAGGCAGAAGGGTTGCCACAAGTTCAAGGCCAGCATGGGCTACATTTCTAATACCAGGCTAGCCAAGGCTTTAGAGGAAGAATCTATCTCAAAACAACACCCACACCACCAACAACAACAAAAGAAACAACTTGTCAGGTCCGGTGAACCTGTTTAGGAAGTGAAGAGTACCCTGGAGCACTAGGACCAAGTGGGAGGTGGGCCAGCTTCTCAGAGATAGACTCAGATTGTACACAGTGGTATGAGGAAATTGAAGTACTCACCATTCTACCTTGGCGAGGGTCCTGGCTGCCTGCTTGTCACTAAAAGAGACAGAACACAAGAGTAAAGTGCACCATTAACATCACCACGGGATCAACAAATGTCACAGGTTTACTCCTCTACAACTCCTTTTCCTGTCACTGAGGACCGACCCAGCCTCTCAACAAGGCACCACACCAATCAGGCAATGGGAGGAGCAGCATGTTGCTCTGGCTCAGTGTGAAGTCCATCACTAAAGTGACCCTGCGCCGTGTGAAGTCCACCACTAAGAGTCAGGAGCAGGAGTATCACCCACATTTTCTCAGCAGAACTCAATCGTTCTGACTGCACACCCAGACGTGGAGCACGCCACACCCTGCTCTTTACAAAAGAGAAGAAATGCCAAAAACTGCCCAATTGGGACTCACTTTTAGCCCTAGTAGGGCATAAATCCACAGGGCTGTTCGGCCATTCTCTGAGTCTAGGAGTAGCACCCACCTGACCTGTTACTGGGGGCAGAGTCCAGAGCAGAGGACAAGAGGGAGAGGACCACAACCTGTGATAAATGAGCAGCAGGATTGGCCCGGTCCTGTTGAGCATACTTGAGACCAAGTAGATGAAGGTTATAGGGAGGAGTCCACACTACAAGAGCGCAATCAGGCCAGCCCGGCCAGAGAGTCAACATCTGTCAAATGGGTCGATCTAACAAGTATTTCAAGTTAAGGCCTCCTGGCCCACTTAGGGAGCCAGGCCTGAGTTTCACTGATACTCCTTCATCTTTGGTGTGGTCGGGGGTTGTGCAGCAGAGTCCCACAGGAGGATACAGCGATTAAAGCCTCCATTGTGATCCTGCCAACCTTCCCTCCCTCACGGGGGAGCCCGCAAGCGGCCAGCCGGAGGTGCTGCCTCACGGCTCACTGGCACGCAGCCTGAAAAACGGAGAGAGGAAGGGAGCGACGAGGACCAGGCCTAGGAGGCCCAAGGTTTCCTCAATTAGGGAATCCGGTCTTGGGGTAGGGGGACGGGCCAGGCTGGCAGGAGATCCCAGGTGCCCAGGTTCTAGGGGCGGAGCTAAGGACTCGGAGGCGGGGCCCCAAATGACAGAGGGCGGGACTCAAGAGAGCCGGTGAGGGCCGGGCAGGACTTGGTCGTTGTGGTTCCCAAGCTGGCAGTGCACGGGGTACAGTGACTCACCCAGGCGGCGTCCGCCCGACCCTCCAAAGCCGCGCTCTCACCACTTCCGTCTCCCACAGCTGCCGAGGCCGCGCAGCTCGAACCCCACCACGGTCCCTTCTCCCCAACCAATCGTAACTCTAGCCTGTACCCGCCCTGGCCAATGGCCACACGAAGTTCCGCCCTGCCTTACCACGCAGCCGCCGCCCTCACTCTCCACGCTGCTCACTGGTCCAGTGGGCAGACGCCCTCTCAGCCTGGAACCTATCCGGCACCCAGAGACCAGACAGTACCTGGAGGGAGGAGGCTTGGCGCCAGAAGACAGACGCGACCAATAGGAAATCACAGCGCGTCCCTATGGCAGCCAATGGGAGAGGAGTAAGAGAGGTTGCAGACTACGGCTCCGGGGACAGGAAGTACCGCGGCCCCGTCGCCTAGTGGTAGCGCAACTGGAAGGCGGGACAATGCAGGGTAGGTTTGCGGTCACTTCCGGTGACGACCGAGTCCTAGAGGTAGTTCTCGAATGACTTTCCGGTGGCTCTGCGTTTTAATTCAGTCGTGTTTCTGTTTCGCACCGGTAGAGCAAGAATGGGAGAAAAGCATGTCGGCTAGGAAAAGGGAAGGACTAGATTTTATTCTATGTCCCTTCCCAATCCTCCTTCAGCTGCATTACTCCTTTGTTTCTCATCCCCCGGTCGATGGAAGAAAAAATCCTGGAAAAGTTTCTTAGTCCGCGAAGGGGAAGAGCTGATTTTGTGGACCGCTAAAGCTATGGGAAAGCAAAACTTGACTCTCCTAGAAGGCTAGAAATAAAGATCTCTCACATTGGCGGCACTGGCGTTTCCCCTGCGTTGTCTGGACAGGTTCTTCGATTTTTATCGACTACCGACCTTTGCCTCCTTCGACACCTACATTGGCCGCCAGGCCTGAGTAATGATCTCTCGGCCAAGAGAGTAAAAGTGGGTCTGACTGCCATTAGCTAGCTGCGGCTTCCTAGTCTGTAAAAAGGATGGGGTGACAAGACTCCCAAGCCACCCGGAGCCAGCCAAAGGACGGAGGGTGACCGCTGGAGGTCTCCGTGACCCACGCTACTACTAACCTAACAGAAACGGAAAATGATTACGATTCCCAACAGATGGTCTAAGTCCTGTAGTCCTGTCTGAGCACTTAGGCTAGTGTTCTCGCGTGTCTTAGCACTGGAACATTTTAGTACAATTAAGTCATAGGAGAATAGAAACCTCTCCTGGCTTCACTGTTTCAGCCCCAGGATCTGGAATCAGGGTCTGTAACCTAGCAGAAGCTTGGTCCTAAACTCCTAGGGACAGTGATGTGTTTTTGTTGTTGTTGTTGTTTGTTTGTTTGTTTTCTGTACTGGAATTTAGATCTTAATTATACATATCCAAATCTGGGGGGGGGGGAACAGGAAAGTGGAGGTTGCCATGTAGTAGTTAATACTCTGTTTTCCCAAGAGCAGCTACAAAATGAAGGTATTGTATGTGGGAGACATGGAGACTGGGGCCCAGATAATGGAGACAGAATAGACATGGAGACTGGGGCCCAGATAATGGAGACAGAATAGAAATGGCCAATAAGAACAATAGGGCAAGCTGTTTCCTACAAAAGCCAGAAACCAGTATCATCAGCCTTTCAAACTGACTCAGGGGCTGGAGAGAAGGCTCAGCGGTTAAGAGCACTGACTGCTCTTCCAGAGGACCTGGGTTCAATTCCCAGAACCCACAGCTCACAACTGTAATTCCAGTGGGGATCCGACACCTTGACACCAATGCACACAAAGCAAGCAAACGGGAGCGGATAGATACAGACACTCAAAGCCACATATAGATTAAAGTTTATTTCCTCTGAGTCTCTGAGAAGTCCGCAGGGATATAAGGCGAAGTGGTAGTAGCTGCAGGGGCCTGAGCAGAGCTGGAGCAGGGAAGGGTTGGCATGGGCAGGAAGAAGAGTTTTAAATACTCAGGTTCAAAAGCCTGCTAATGAGTCTCCTTCATCTGTCTTTGGATTTTGTGTAGCATCTCCTGCATCCGCCGCAGCTGAAATAGGCACATACATCAAAACAAGGTGTTTGATAGGGAGGGTCTTATTGTATTGGGGAAGTGTCCCCAGATTCTAACCCCTTGAGTCTGGGGCCATGGTAGCCCCTATATATGATGGAAATGGCGGAACTGCTCAACACCCCACGTGTGTACCAGAGCCAGGAGGGTCTTTCTATTCCCAAGAGACACTGAGAATTATCAAACAGGGCGTCCCAGGCTGACAGCCACAGCATACTGCTCTCACCTCTTCATCTTTCTCTCGGATCAGCTTCTCAGTTTCTGGATCTGTCCCTGGTGGGACAGCAGGGATAGGGAAGTCAGTACCACTCTCTCTTGTCAGTTTGCTGAAGGGAGGGGGAAAGGAGGGTAGTAAGGTTGGGGGACCCCAGCACCAACTTGAGTGAAGCCTGGGGCCTGTAGAGTAATAAGGGGAGGACTTGGGGTTTCCCTGGCCAGCTTTGCCCTGGCTTCTGGTCATACTTGCGATTCCGTTCCTTTACTACTAGGCGGGTCATGCTCTGGATGCACTGTGCCCTGTAGTTCTCATAATGTGTCTCTCGGGTCACATCCTTCAGGTCCTGCATGTGGGTACGCACCAGCATTGTCCTCAACTTGACAAAGTCGCAGTGACCTGGGTTTTCCACTGCATAGCAAGGCTAGGAGTCAGCCAGGGTCATGGGTGAAACAGCGCCTCTAAGGGCAAGGACACTCTGGTCACAAGCTCAGAGCTTTACCTTCCACTATGCCCCAAGGGTAGAGCCGGCCCCGAACTCTCCGCCCTCTGGCTTCTACCACAGTGTTGCTGCCAATCACCGCAAATGGGATGCTTTCCTAAAAGAAGTTATGGTGGCCGGTCAGCATCCTTGTTATCACCTGTCCTTTCCACTTGTGTCTTCTGCTGTTCTCTAAGAAGAAAGGGTCCTTCTGCCACCCCAACAGTCTGTACTTAGAATTCTACTCCCCTCTTCTGCCCAGCAGACACAAGTTGGGAAAGGGGTGCCCTAGGGTGGCCCCACCTTTAGGGCTTGGTCCTGTAATTTGAAGTCCTCATCCTCATCAGAATCACAGTCTGGGAACTGATAAATCTTGATCCCAAAGTGCTCAATCTCCTCTCGGATCTGGCAAACAGATGAGGGGTCCACAGTTCTGGGTACCCCATCTTTTCTAGAAGCCCACCTAACTCCCTCCCTCCATCAGTTCCCCTCACTTTGCATTTCTTTCGGTCCACTTCAGGAGGTGTCAGTGTGTCTGCCTTAGCCAAGATAGGCACAATGTTGACCCGCTGATGTAGGGCCTTCATGAATTCAACATCCAGTGGCCGGAGCCTGGGGAACAGGAATCTGTGACCACCTGCTAGTGGTAGCCCTGCCTGTGGAGCTCTTGGCCTGTTCCCTTAGTAGAACCCGGTGGTGCCAGGAGCCTCAGGCTCAGACCATACCCGTGGCCGAAGGGTGAGATGAAGTACAGGCAGCAGTGCACCCGGTTGTCTTGGATGTTCTTGCGATTCAGGCCACTCTCATCTCGGAAATACTGTTCAAACTGCTGGTCAATGTATTCAGCCACAGGCTTCCAGCTGGGGCAAGGACAAACAAGCAGAGAAACTGGGAGTGGGGGCTGCCTGGTGAACTCTGGCTGTTTTGCTCAGGCTTTCTTTATTACTCTTTGGGGGAACTGCCTGGGTAGGATGGGAGTATTTCACACCTCAGTAGAAAATTAGACTGGGGACACAGGCAGTTCAATAAATACTAGTTTGATGAGTAAAGTTGGCTGAACGGGGACCAGGCAGAGAAGTAAAAATAGTAGAGTGGCAGCAGGTGAATACCAGTTGGAAAACAGGGAAACCATAAGTCAACACAGTCTGGCCTTGGAGTGTTTGCCTCTCCAAGCCCTTTCATCCTTCTTATCCAAGACCCAGTCCTCCCATAAATGTTTCTTTGACTACAGCAGCGTACACTACTCTCCTCTCCACAGCCATGTGTATATCACTACGTGCAATCAACCACAATGAAGCAATGTTTCAATCAGCTTTGAATCCATATTATTTCATTAGTCCCACAAGATGATGATTGAGCTAAAAAACATTGCCATCATAACAACATAGCACCTATGTGTTACATGTGCTGTCGGGCATATAAAACTGCAGCACACGCAGCTGATAAGAGAGCTTAGTTGGTAAGAATGCTTGCCGCACAAGCCTAGTGACTTGAATTCAATCCCAGGACACAAACTCACACTTTGTACACTGACAGTACAGCACACACACACAAATCTAAATCAGTAAGTGATGACAGATGGCCAGTACTTCATTCAGTGTACTCTAGTGTATGCTTTCTACTTACAAGAAAAGTTTATTGTAAAACAGTTGCTGTGTTTTGTCAGCAGCAGCCTCATCCATCTTCTGTTCAGTCTCTTGCCCTTGAGAGGCCATGTCAAGTAACTGATCTATGACATCTGGGTTTGTGTTAGCAGACTCTATTTCATACAATGATGAAACCACCTAATAATGTGTTTCTCAGACTCTATCCCCATGGTTAAACAATGGCCCCCTTCCCATAAGAGTGTGTGTTTTGAAAACTTCATTTTTCAGGTCGTTTGCTCTTCTATTATCTAGGTTAATCCCCATTGTCATGATGATAGCAGCACTTTGGGCTCAGCACTCTCATTCTACATAAAGAAATTAAATCTGGATCCTGTGAGAGACTTGCTCCAGATTATTTGGCTAGTAAATTCTCTACCACTTGAGTTTGTGACTTTGGCTTTGTGACTTGTAGCTCAGTGTCAGCAACTACTCATGGCCTGACCCACTCATTTGTTATCTGATGGACACAACTCATTACAAAATGGCGCTCCCTCTGCCCCCCCCCCCACTACTGACAGGCTGTACAAATCTCAGGAGTGAGGGTCATTCATGTTTGCTCTGAATCCCTGAAAATGTCCACCTTGTATGTTTATGCTCCATGAATCCCTGCAGGTTAACTAAATTAGTATCTATGGGGGTACACTACAAACAGAGAAGTACAATTGTCTGGAAACTTATTGAAAGGGAATTCTTACTAAAATTGAAATTATTTATTAAAAGTAAAAGGAGGTAAGTTGATTGAAAGTGGTACCTGCCACAGTAGAAACCAGGTACTAGTTTGGATTAGGATTTCAGAACAAGCTTGTCTGCTCAGATATACTGCTAGAGCAGGAAAGATGATGACAATATAGCATCTCCTCAGCCTATCAGAAACATTGATGGAAACCGCAAGACCATGTACCACTAACTGGCACAGAGCTGTAGCAAGAATTTGAGAGATGGCCATCCAGTCAAGGCTCAGACAAAAGTTGATGATGAACCAGTTATCTGTTGAGGATAGCCACATGTTGAAACAATAAAGCAGGTGATGAGGGCTAAGAAATGTCTGTGAGGGTCTCGTTAGCCTGTGAGACAGTTATCTAGGGCAAACACCATGGGTATATAGCCTGTGCAGTCATACAGAAATCTGCACTCAGAAAGACCGCACTTGGTCTCCTGTTGTTCTTACCATACTGAAATTCTCATAATTATGAACAAAAGGACCCACAAATCTTGCTGCTGGCCCTGCAGTTACTACTGCTCAAATGCACAGGCTTAATTCTGGGCTCTTTTCCGATCAATCAGATGATGTGGAAATGGCTGATGTTTTTTTGTTAGTGGTTTTGGTTTTGGTTTTTTTTTCCATTAGGAGAGAGAATGCAACCAATTAGTTCAAGATCATGCAGTGCTAAATGCCAATCAAGATTTATGCTCTTGGGTGCGACCTGCTTAATTTCTTCATCAGACTCACTGCCCTTTTCTCCTGCCTATTTTGGTTCATTCCCTGCACCTGTTCTCTTATGTGTGCTCATTACCTAAGCATCCCTCTAATTCATGAAAAACAAAACAAAACAAAACAAAAGCTGTGTGTGTGTGTGTGTGTGTGTGTGTGTGTGTGTGTGTGTGTATCGGTGCACACAGTTATGGAGATTGAGAAGGTTCAAGACTGGTAGTTGGCATCTGGAGACACAGCAGGGTTGATGGTGTGGTCTGAGATTGAAAACCTGAGGACCAGGTGTCAAAACCTCCTTTCTTTTGTTAGGTAGCCCAAAGGATGCCCGGAGTGCCGTCTTTTTCTTCTTTCCACCCCTCCCCTAACTTTCAGATGTTTTTTATTTTACTATGTTTTGTTTTGTTTTGTTTTTGAGACCGTCTCATATAGCACAGGCTGGCAACATGGCTGAGACTGCCCCCAGCTCGAAAGTACTGAGATTACAATGGTGCCTCGCTATGCCACCTGCCATTCCCTTTGCTAGTCTTCCCCTTTGCTCTTGCTTTGCTTTCCTTCACACCTCCCTCATTTCCCCTTCAACAAGACTTGTTTGCAGCATCTAAAATAACTGCTGTGGAAAGGAAAGAAAAGAGGGTGATGGTGTTTGTGTTGCACCTACATGTGTTGACAGGTGTTTGCTCTTTTGAGGCTTTCACATTATGTCCTCACAAACTCCACAGAACTGTATGTCAGAACCGGGAAGAATACTACAAACCCTCTATCTGGGACTGAGCACAGCAGTGCATGCTTGCAGTCCCAACACTTGAGAGGCTAATGCAAGAGGACCGCTGAGTTCAAGGCTAGCTTGAGTTACATAGTGAGTTCCAGGCTATATAACAAGAGACCCTGTCAATAATCATCATCATCATCATCTTAGCACTTGGGAAGTAGATCTCTGAGGTCATGGCCAGCCTAGCCTATATAGTAAGTCTGTCTCAAAAATAAATAAATAAGACCATCCATTCCAATCCTTCCGCACTTACAGAAGAGACAGCTGTCCAGTTAAAGGAATCCGGCTGTCCAGTAAGGTCACAGACCTCTTCCTCCTAGCAAATCTATGTCTGTGACCGTTGTGTGACCTGTGTAGATGCATGCAGTAAGTGGGCGGGACAGGGGCAGCTGGGGCTGGACTTGGTCAGACATACCACTCTGTGTTGTTGACTGCATCCCCAAAGCCTGGCGTGTCCACAATGGTGAGCCGCAGCCTGACTCCTTTCTCTTCTATATCCACCGCATGCTTAGTAATCTCCACAGTTTGCATGATCCGCTCTGGAGAAGAGGGGAAAGAGGCTAGGGCAAGGGCATGGTCCTGCCCAGCCAAAACAACCTGCCCACCCCAGCTAGCTTTGCTACCCCGACTGCCTCCCTTTTCACCCCCAGGCGCCTGAGGGCCTGTTCCCTGGGAACCAGCAAAAAACACATTTCCCAACACAGGAAATGCCGGTGGCTGTTGGCTCTGGCCCCAGCCTCCTCTCTGCTCCAGGCTTTTTTCTTGGATTCCTGGAATCCTTTAGGGGTCAGAAACTCATTCAAAGATCAGGATTCTGGTCCCTGCCCTGTTTCATCACCCAAATCTTACCCCCCCAGAGACAGGGTAGCCTTGGCTGGCCTAGAACCCTCTCTGTAGACCAGGCTGGCCTCGAACTCATAGTGATCGGCCTGCCTCTGCCTCCTGAGCACTACGATTAAAGGCCCAGGACAGCACTCCGATCTTTAGGGAGCCGGGTGGTGAACCGCCAGGCCAGACAGGTCTATGGGAAGAAGCCATATGTCTCTCTAGGAAGCCAGGGCCTCCAGCATGCTAGGGAGGGCCCCACCTCCAGCACCTGAGGGGTCCACTCCTTTCTCCTTCCCTTACCTTCGGCACCGAGGAGTTTCCGATCCCTGTACAGGTCAGTGAGGAAGAGGCTGTTGACAAGAGTGGATTTACCCAGGCCAGATTCCCCTGATGGGAGACAAGACAGAGGCACCAAGTCAGAAGGTGAGGTCCACCTGAAGAAGATCTGGGGCAAACTGCTGTTTGTCACTAGGAACTACGTCAACCAAAGCACAGTCATTCAGAACTGAGAGGAAGCTTGCACAGCCATCTTGTTTGAATGAAGTCAAGAGACTGCCCATGGTAGCATGAGAGGGGGAAATACTAGAAACTGTAAGTGCACCATTCCCATCTCCTCTTCCCCCAACTCTGCACAGTTTGGCCATGCTTTGTATGACTTTACAAAAAAAAAAAAAAAAAAAAAAAAAAAAAAAAAAAAAAAGCACAGTCATTTGCAACTCATTCCTTCTCTCCATGTACTCTTCAGACACGTCAATTCCACCTGAAACAGCCCTTGCCCAGCCCAGCCTTGCCCCTTCCTACCTGCCACCATGAGCGTAAAGTCAAAGCCTTTCTTCACAGACTTCCTATGGACTTGATTGGGGAGAGTTGCAAAGCCCACATACTCCTTGTCATCCTGGTGGACAGGAAGACATAATCACAGGGTTAGAAGCAGCTCCCATCCTCAGCCTTCCTCATCTCTTCTGGGTCCTTGCCCTACCCTTTGAGCTTCCATCCAAGGCCACTGGCCAGGTCAACAGTCCCTGCTCTGACTTCAAGGCAGAAGCCTTAGAGCCGGGGCTGATCCACACACAAAGGCCCAATGGACACATTTGATGCATATGCACATATCCACACACCTACCCCAGGCTTTCTTTGTGCCCTCCCAGGGTCTTTCTGCACCCACCCACTGAATGGCAAAGGCAGGGCTGGAGTCTCTACCTCAGAGGAATCATAAGGATCAAGCTTGCCCCATGGACTGCGGGGCCTGGAGGAAGGGCTGAGAGGGGCTGGGGCACAGAAGTATTGCTGGCTCTCAGAGGGCTGGGGCCACAAGCTGGCTCTAAACTCCAGGTCATCATCACAGAGCTCTGGGGACTGGGGCCTTGGCTCCGAGATCTGGGGCCTGGGCACCCTGGTCTTGGCCTCCGATGGATGGCAGGGCTCGCCTCCTGGGAAATCCTTCACGAACTTGCTGAGTTCGGCATCATCACTGCTGTCCTCCAGGAAATGCTTGATCTGGGGGTTTGGGGTAGAGTGGGCGGGAGTGACAGGAGGGAGCAGGATGGGAAGATGGAGGCAAAAGGCAGAAGGCGAAAAGGAAAGAAGTACTTGTGGTTAGAAGGGAAAGAGACAGTGCAAAGCCAGAAGAAGTGCTCATATCTATCATCACACACTTGCTCACTAGCATCCCCAAGCTAAGAGACTGGAAAGGACCTCAGAGGACAGCCCTACAGAGCCCTGTCCTCCTAGCAGGTTAACACTGACTGAGGCTGCCATGTCTGGAGGTCTGCCCTAGGCAGGGGCTAGCAGCTGACCCAAAGGCAAAGAAATCATACTGAGTAAGAGGGAGAGAAGCAGAGGCCTAAGACCTGAGTGTGTTGCTCAAGAAGAGTGTAGCATCAGGAAAGGGCATGGACACTGGCAGGCAGGGCGGAGAGAGGGGGCTTATCCTCTAAGCAAGAAAAAGCCAATAGCAGGTTCAGTGCCTCTGTCACTGCTGGTAAGGGACCTGGGAACAGAGGTGCATATTCTATTGCAGGGGCTGTTTTCCAGGTTTGCTGGCCAAGATTTAGGCTCACAGACCCTCAAATGCTGAACCACATTCAAATTTGGCATGGAACCCCAGAACTGAAGAATAACCATTACCCTCAGTGGAAACTAAATGTGAAGGGAAGTTAAGAACAGCCAGGCGAGAGCAGATAAAGAAAACACAGTAGCTAGGGTTGTGGGGGGGGGGGATGGAAGGGGGTGGTGGCGCGCGCCTTTAGTCCCACCACTTGGGAAGCAGGGCAGGAAGATCTCTGTGAGTACCAGACCAGCCTGGTCTACAGAGCAAGTTCCGGGATGACTAGGGCTGTTAGACAGAGAAACCCTGTCTCGAAAAACCAAAGAAAGACAGACAGGAGAGAGAGAGAGGAGGAGGAGGAGGAAGAAGAGAGAGAGAGAGAGAGAGAGAGAGAGAGAGAGAGAGAGAGAGAGAGAGAGAGAGCGCACTGAAAAACTTGGGAGGGCTGAAGATTTTCTACTCTAAAAATGTACCATAAACTGGGAGCAACATCTAGGAAGGGACCACTTAGTTGCATCCTTGCCCATTTTCCCTGAACTCATGAATTCAGAAGTACAGGAAGGTTCCAGCCTCATGGGTGAACCATAGATGTGGACTGCTGATAGAATTCAGTAACTTCTCTCTAGAAGCCTGTTCCACATGGAAGGTGAGTGGTTTCTCCTGCTCTTGACCTTAGTCCCCCATAGCTATAAGCTTCCCAAGAGTTTCCCCTCTCCTTATGGGGTCAGTATTCTTCGTGGAGTGCCTGGCAGTGCTGGGCTCATCCCTGCCTCACAACACCCATGTGCCACCCCCAGACAATGGACAAGGGCTAGCTGCAGAGGCTGAGTCACCCTCTGGGGATTGGCCAAGCCAGTGGGGCTACCCTGGACCACTGTGAAGTCTCAGCTAGAGTAGAAGAGATAAGATGGCCATAGTCTTCCTGCATAGACCTTTTACAAAGGTCAGAAGTAAAAGGGACAGACATGCACACCGCTAGGTGTAGGCTAAAAAAGATGAGAAAGGGATGTTAGGGGGAAATGTCTGGTATGATGTGGGTTGCTACACCGACTGATCACCAGTCTTCAGGGTTTGCTTGGACATGAGAGAGGAAACTGGAACTAGCCTGTGGGCCTTAGTGCCCCCAAGAGGCTATGCTTAGGCAAGCCTTACTATATAGGCCTCTCTCACCCATTATATCCAAGGTCCAGTGGGGCAACCATACAACTGAGTTTATGCTTGTTGATTTAGCATAATGATTCATTGTTGCCCCTTTCACTCTCGAGAGTGTCCCAGTTTGGCCAAATTAATTACACTGCAGCAGAGAAAGGAGGGAGCGGGTCTTGTTGTTTGGCAGCCAATGAGTCTGGGGAATTCCAGAAAATCTTCCTGCACCACCCCACAGTACCCCGAAGTTGATCTGGGGATGGGGATCTTGCTAAGCATTTAAGAAAGGACTATGTTCTCTCCAGGGCACAGGGCAGAAGGACAGCATGAAGGAAGACGGGAAGCACTGATGGGAATCTTAAGCCCCCAGTTTTCCAGCAGAGCTACGGCAACCTGGGCACCACCATCTTCCCCGCCAGACCTGACTGTACATCACCATGGATGGGGCCAAGGGGCTCCAGACAAAGAGTTTAAGGCACTAAGTTCTTTGTCTGTCTGTCTATCCACCTCCCCTAGCTTTGCCAGGGACTAAACTGTTTTCCAATGCTGAACTCCTATGCTGTTCAAGGCCAAGTGGAAGACCAGTTAGGTCTACCCACCTCCCCAAGCACCCACCATCTTACCCCAGCTTCAGTCCCGTCCTCAGGGACAGAGTTCCCTTGCCATTCCAGTGAATGGTCCATGCCCCACACTTCACAACCCTGTCAGCAAGCTCTAGGTCTAATTTTATCTCCAGGCAGAGGTCCTCACACAGCCTTGTCTTGATGCTCTTGTTGTCATCTGGCTTCCTGGCTTGTTCCTTCCCCCTTTTTCTTTGACCCTACTCTGTCTCTGGCAGGGGCCAAAAAAGCCTGTGGAATGTTCTTCTCCACCCCCTCTCCCCCCTCCCCTTTCCTGGGCTCCCACCCTCCTAGGGCAGCCCAGCTGCAGCAGGATCACTGGGTTTCTGTACAGTTCCCTCCTCCTCTGATTGGCTGACCCATGATGCCTGCCTGCTTCCTATCCTGGTGGGCACGGCACCAACCTCCCAGTAAGTCTGCAGCATAGGCTTGACCCACTTAGCCTCTCCTGTTAACCCCTAAGGACACTGGAGCCTGCCTGAGGACAGGTCACTAAGGTGACCTAGCCCATCATTACATGGGGACAGCCACCCAAGGAACCTATCCCCAAAGATTCCAATCCCTTCGACCCTTTTTACCTTAACTAAAAAGGGATGGAAATGCACATAATTCCCTGAGTTTTGGTTCCATGGGAATGGCCCCACTCTTCTTCCCAAGCGTCCCTTTGTTTTCCCCTACCAGAAGAAGCTGCTGTCCCACTGTCCATAAAACTGCTCGCCACAAAGGACTTGGCACCATGGACTCCAGCCGTCCAAAGACACATGCCCTCTAGACTCATGAGGACCTATCCTACTACCTCATCTATTCCACAGGATCTCTAGGATACTTGGACTCTGGGGAACATGGGTTCAAATCAAAGGAGGCTGGCATCCCAGAGGCTTCAGACCTGCTTTAGATTGGAGACTTAGCAGGGATGGAGCATTCCACTTGGAGTCAGTGTTTCTGGTTGGGGCAGAAATCCCTTGTAAGCCTGACTAGCAACTTAATTTTAGGGCTTTAATGTCCTTGCTTTCCCTTGCCACCAGGACAGCTGGGGAATGAAAGGGCTCCCAGGTAACAAATACCTCAAGCAGATTTGAAGATGAGGAGCATCTCAAGTCACAGAATAGTCATTAAAACTGTCCTGTCATCATTCTTTTCTTGTGGAAATTTTAACTTCCTGGAGCTCTTCAGCTGGAGGTCTCCCCACTGATTTCCAAAGAAGCTAGGATTCAGACCTCCATTGACAAGATGCAACATAGAAGTGTGGCCTGACATGAGCCAGTCATTCCAAGCACTCTGCTGGTGGTTATGAGGGCAGAGGCCTGAAACCGGACATCTGGGTAGTGTTGGGGTATCTTTATTTAGGAAAGAGGAGAGTGGCCTTGGCCAAGCTGAAAGCTCAAAGACCTCAGTTGAACTGAACTTAGTGTGTGGCAGAAAAAAAGGCCCCCTGATTCCTGCTGGGTTTAGCCCTGGGGATAATCAGTGCTTCCCCAGGCTTCTTCTGTCTTGGAACAATCAGTCTGTCCATCTCCCATGTGGGAACAAGGTGGGGGACTGGGGCAAGGACAAACACTACTTGGCCTCTCCCAGGAACCCCTTTGGAGTAGGTCATAGGGCCACTAATACTTCCTGACCAAAACTTGGGCCTCTGCCTAGACACAGCTTGAGAGACAAGAGCCCAAAAGGTTGGCCTCTCTAGACCTGGAAGCTTCTGATTCCACAGGGCCCAGAGTTCCCTTTTGGCAGCTGCTCACAGCCAACATCCTGCCCTGTGGGCTGATCACCAATCCCCTCCTGCTGTAAACAGCTTGTGCCTCCCCATGCAGAAGACAAAGTCTGGAAGAAGAGGATGGTGTGTGGCCTGGAAGCCGTGACACCCATACATTGCGTTTCTGGCAGGATCTGGTAACAACAGCAGAAGAGCTGGTATCCAGAGCCAAGGGTTGAAAACTTTTATCTGGGGTAATAGCTTCTTTTCTCACAAGCAGGTGGCAGGAATGAGTTCCCCCCCCCCCTTCACACACACACCCCAACCCCCACACACTGCAGAGAGACCTAGTTGCAGGGAGAGGGTAGATGCAGCAGGAGAAATGTTTCCCAAGGTTCTGGTCTGGGAGGCAAAGGGGTAGAGCTGATGGCGCCCCTGCACGATGGTGAACTGGGCTTTCTTCTTCCTCTCTGAGAAAGGTCCAGAGGATGTGGATCATCCCTTTTAGAGAGACAGGCAGTGTTTATGTTTCCTCTGTGTTTTCCGAAGGAAGTTGGTGCTGGTCATTGCACCAGGAGTAGGTGAAGGAGGAAGGGTCATCCAGGTAACACAGCTGATTCCGACAAGGGCGGATACTTATCCCCCTACCATCCTTGTCAGCGCTGTCCTCTTTAGCACCAGAGACTACCACTGCACCTCCTACAGAACTGACCTATTCCTTCCAAGACCTTGGGCAGCACCGTGGGGGTCGCGGCGGGCTGAAAGCAGCCCAGCTCAGAAGAAATAACTTGAAAGCAACGAAGCAGCGCCTAGCGCCAGCAGTGCCTAGTCTGAACCTGGAGCCAGGGACAGTACCTCCCGCCCTGCCCAGCCGCCCTGCCCAGCCAGGGCTGCAGCGCCGTGCGTCCCCTCGGAGTCGCCCGGGAGTGGCAGGCCCTGCGTTTCCGGATGCCCGCTCTCCTTACCATGGTTGCAGCCCTAGCCGGGCCGG